GGCTCTCATGGACTTGTTTTCATTTTCTTCAGCTTCAGTTTGAATTTGCATATGAATAATTGATGGTCTGTTCCACAGACTGCCCCTGGTCTTGTTTTCACTGATGATATGGAGCTTTTCCATTGTCTCTTTCCACAGATGTGGTCAATTTGATTTCTATGTATTCCATCTGGTGAGGTCCATGTGTATAGTTGTCTCTTATGTTATCTAAAGAAGGTATTTGAAATGAACAAATCATTGGTTTTGCAGAATTCTATCATGCGTTCTCCACCATCATTTCTATCACCAAGTCCAAATTTTCCAACTACTGACCCTTCTTCTTTGCTCCCCACCTTTGCATTCCAATCACCAGTAGTGATCAATACATCTTGATTGCATGTGTGATCGATTTCACGTTGAAGAAGTTGGTAGAATTCTTCTATTTCATCCTCACTGGCTTTAGTGATTGATGCATAAATTTGAATAATAGTGGTATTAACTGGGCTTTCCTGTAGGTGCATGGATATTATCCTATGATAGACAGTGTTGTACCTCATGACTGATCTGGATATGTTCTTTTTGACGATGAATGCAACACCATTCCTCTTCAATTTGTCATTCCCAGCATAGTAAATCATGTGGTTGTCAGATTCAAAATGGCCAATACCAGTGCATTTCAGCTCACTAATGCCTAAGATGTTGATGTTTACGTGCTCCATTTCCTTTTTGACAACTTCCAATTTTTCCAGATTCATACTTTGTACATTCCATGTTCTGATTTTCAATGGATGTTTACAGCTGTTTTTCTTCATTTTGAGTTGTGCCCCATCATCAAATGATGGTTCTGTGGGCTTTTCTCCCATGAGTTTTACTCCATTCTCGTTATCACAGTCAACTTGTATATAAACGGTCAAATGGGTACCTAATTAGTGATGTAAACTTTCATGGAAAACACAATAGATTTCTTTTTCACTGTATCTAAGAGACATGTACTTAAGAGACAAAATACTTGTAATCAATTACCATGTTGTGTTGCTATTGTTAAGTGCCACAGAATCCGTTTCAACACATAGTGACCTTGCATATGGTTTCTGACACTTTAAATCTTCATGGGAGCAGAAAGCCTCATCTTTCCCCCATGGAGCAGCTGGCAGGCTTGAACCACAGACCTTGTGGTTCACAATCCAGTAATTATCATTTGGAGCCACCACACTCATCACCTGCCTTAGGAATTGGAAAACTGTATAGCTAAGTTTTATCAGACCTTTCAAATAGAATTTTGACATTATTTGAACTAATCCAGGTCATACGGGTAAAAAAGGTATAGCCTACTGTTGTAAATGCCATTGAATCGGTTCCGACTCATAGCGACCCTGTGTAGGGTTTCTGAGGAGCAGCTGGTGAGCTTGAACTGCCAACCTTGTAGTTCTAACCAACGTTGTAGGCCAGCGCATTAACCCACAGCAAACTAGTTGATATAACTTAAAAAGTGTAAAAGATTAATCTCATTTGTGAATACAGAAGCAAAGTCCTAAACATACAATTAGAAGTAGAGTCCAGCAGTATATCTAAATGGCACAAGCAAAGTTTGTTTCTGGGATGCAGTGTTGGTTCCTCAGGAAATCAACATTATTCATAACACCAACAAATTTAAAGCAAAAAAATCAAGCATAGTGAAAAGGCATTTACTTAAATACAACAGACATTCTTAATTTTAAAAGTCTAAAAAGGTAACTCACTAAGTGTAATCAACAGCAAATCCTTGCATAAATGACAGACCACTAAAAGTACTTCCACAAATTTCAGAAATAAGACCATAATGCCCACCGCCACGTAATTAGAAAGATCAGGATATGCACTATGACAAGAAAATGAAATCATCTGAATGCACATTGGAAAAACAGGATAGAACAACCTTCATTCCTCTCAGCTAGGATAAAGGAAAAGGAGCCCTGGTAATGTAGTGGATTATAAGCTGGGCTGCTAACCACAAGATGACCAGTTTGAATCTACCAGCCACTTCTTGGGGAAAAAATAGACTTTCTGCTCCCACACATACTTACAATCTCATAAACCCTCTACAGGGTCGCTATGAGTCAGACCGACTCCATGGCACACAGCTACTTCCACCACCAGGAGAAAGAAAATTAAGTACCATCAAAACTTTCTCCTAGAAAGGTCAGCTCATACAAACATTTAAAAATACATACCACCACTCATTGTCATCAATTCCAACTCATAGAGATCCTCTAGGACAGAGAAGAACTGCTCCATAAGGCTTCCAAGGCCATAAATCTTTATGGAAGCTGACTGACTCATCTTTCAACTCAGAGCAAATGATAGGTTCAAACTTTAAACCTTTTGGCTAGCAGTTCAACACATAACCCACTGCACCACCAAAACTCCTTAAATACGTACCAAAAGCCTCAAAAAAAAAAACCTTTTCCATCAGCAACTTGACTTCTAAGAATTTATCCAAAGGTCTTAATCATGGATGTGAGCAAGATTTAGCTACAGCATTATGTTACAGCAGTTTATATTTACAAGGCATTAATAACAATATCCTGATGTTGTTCCTAAATCTCCAACAATACCAAACCAGTTGCCAAGTTAATTCCTATTCTCATGGAATCCCTGGGTGGTGCAAATGGCTAAGCACTCAGCTGCTTACTAATAGTTGGAGGTTAGGTCTACTTAGAAGCATCTCAGAAGAAAGACCTGGTTATTTATTTCTAAAAAAATAAATCAGCCATCGAAAACTCTGTGAGCACAATTCTGTGCTCCTCCCTGTGGACTTCACACATGAGCTCTCCATCCAACAGTAAAGGATTATTTAAGCAAACTTTCACATAACTACATGAAGCTGTTTCTATAAATGAGGCACCTTTGACTTTTCAAATTCTGCCCAGCACTTTCTTGCCCATCCACCCCTTCCAGGGCTGTCCCATTGGCTCCCTTGTTCCCAGGTCTTTCCCCAGGTGTTGCTTCTCAGCTGGCTTCCCCTGGCCCCTGATGGAGAAGACTTCCTGACTCCACCTGGCAATGACTGGTGTCTCCTGCTCCAAGCCCATGGCACCAACAAACATGAGGAGTACATGAATGATCTTTGGGGCACTTGAGTACCCAGTCATATGCTAAGACAACAGAAGGGAACACAAGAAGGACCTCATGACTAGTTGGAAAAATGAGGGTGATGTGCCTGCATCAGTCACTAGCCCATGGTAGTACACTTTGATGAAGTGACCCCTGAATACGGGGTTAACAGAGCGCTAGAGCATGAATGACACAGGCCACAGACAGCCTGCAATTTTCCATGTTGCTCTAAGCTAAAACGATAGGTCTGATAACGAGAAATGACTGCGTGGCTCGGAATTCTCTGGCATACCCACCCCTTCCCTCACCTCCCCCCACCTCACTCTCTCTAAGATCCAGCTTCCTGATGCTGATATTTTCCTAATGCCCAGTTTTATGAGCTCCCCCATGGCTGTCCCTACTAATGGACTTACAATGGAAGTGTCATTTGACCATTTAAAAAAATCACAGGGAAATAACCTAAGGAAATTTTAGAACTTAAGAGCTGAAAAATCACAACCACTTCATTCCAGTCTAGCATTCTGCCTGCTGACCCTTAAAGGAAACATGATCATACAGTGAGTCAAACCTCAAGCCTGCTCAAGAAGGCAGACCAGGTATGGTTTTGTCAGAAAAGTCCACCCCAGGAGGCAATCCATCTTTAAAGGCAAAAAAGCTGCCGCAGCTCCCAGATTTATGAATCACAGACCACCAGCATCATCAGGGACCACCCCATCCTGCAGGCCAGCCTCATGCGGCAGAGCCCTGGGTCCGCCTTCTACACAGACCTCCACAGTTCTGCCCTGTGACCTGGAATGCCCACTATCTGCATCCTCGGCTATCCAGAACTTGCAGTGTGTCCCTTGGACCAAAAATGCCTTAAGTTGGTCAAGCCTCTCTCCCCCTGGCTGCAGGTCTACCACCTGTCTGAGGTAGTGGCCTTGAATGTGAAGGCTGATGAGACAGCGGCAAGGAACAAGCCCACCTATGTATGCCAGGGCATACGTGTTAGTCCCTGACAGAGGGAGGCCCACCTGCCCAGAGGGGCATTATGGCCTGATCTCCAGACCACACTGATTCTAACTTCAACACCAGCAGGCTCTGTCCTGAGCTGCCAGCATGCCGTCCCCTGGTACAGACTTGACAGAAACAGCCACCAAGGAATGACCTCAGTGGCCTTTGTCCAACTCACAGGGAAGAAGAGATTTTCTCCACGGAAAGAGTCAGCCCTGCTGTGTCCTTCCCATTGGTATAAGCACAGGGCCTAATTCTTTACAACAAGCCTCCATCCAGACATCTTACACATAGACCCTCTCCTCAGCATTCTATTTACAAGACGTCTAGCTAGCATGACCAGCATCTCTGAATGCATCCCTTCAGGCTCCTGCCGTCTCTAATGTGTTATGGTGTCCTTGCTCCCAGACACCCCTGTGAGCAGCAGATGGCAGGGACTCCCAACAAACTGGTCCAGGAACCTGGCATCCAGAAAATAGATTCCCAGTCAGCAATTCCACCATTTAACATTTTTGCATTCTGGGAAAGCTCCCTCCCTCTTTTCCTAGGAGGGCCTGGGTATTGAGAGAGTGGGATTCCCTGTTGAAGGAGATGGTTGTCTCTGAAGCATCAGCTCTGAGACCTCCCCCACAATGACTCCTTCAGGATTACTGTGGGCAAAGCACAGCAAAGGGAGACGTTCCACTCTCCCCTCCCCAGACACTGGTTGTTATCCCCCACCTGAGCCTGCCCATGAGTGGGCCCTCACAGGGACTCTCGCTCTGTGTTGTAGGTGATCACAGAAGCCAGCGCTGGCCAGGGCCAACACCTCATCCGCACACCCTTCGCCGGAGTGGACGACTTCTTCATCCCCCCAACAAACCTCATCATCAACCACATCAGGTGAGACCAGCTGAGGTCCCTCTAAGACACTGTATGCACCTGCAGGAAACAGCTTCACCATTCACTGTCTCCCCGCTCCTCTGGGCTGGCTTTGGAGCCCATGGGAAGGATGGAGAAATGGGTCCCTCCCTGGCAGACTCAGGGCTTAGATCCTACTAGTTGGGGTCCATGCCTCTGTGGTAGTTAAGGATAACACTCAGCTCCTAAACCCTCAGGGACCCAGTGAGGTTGGGAAGTCTCAGCCCCAAGGTGAGGGCAATGGAGGAAGAGGGACGCAACTGTTGTTATTTGAGCACATATCATTTGCTAAACACAAAAACCTAACTAACTCTAATTCCTGATTTAGAGATGGGAAAACTAGCCTCAGATAAGTTAAGACACTGGCCAAGGTAACACAGCCAGACTAAATGCAAAGCCAGGACTCCTTTCAATGTCCCATGCTAGCTTCCAGCCCAGAGTTCATCCAGGAACCCCCCAGAAGAGCCATACAGGGGCCTGTTTGCCATGCTTTGTCACCATTCAACATAATCGCCTAATAACCATAGGCATGTTGTTGTTGTTGTTGTTGTTAAGTGCCATCAAGTCGGTTCTGACCCATAGCGACCCTGAACAGGGTTTCCGAGGCTGTAAATCTTTATGGGAGCAGAAAGCCTCATCTTTCTCCCGTGAAGCAGCTGGTAGTTTTGAACTGCTGACCTTGCAGTTCACAGCCCGATTTGTAACCACTACGCTACCAGAGCTCCTTAACCATAGGCATTGCCTCATCTATAAACCTCATCCAGCCTGGTTGCTCTCCCTTCCCTAGTTCTGTCCAAGAGCCCCAACATTGTCTGTAAGTGTACCGCATTGAGAAGAATAAACCTACCTTTGAAGAAATCAAGACCCCAAATATCTTGCAGCACTAAATATTTATGTCACTTTTAAATCTGATGTCAGGCACCTTTCTCCAAGAAGAGTTGATACGTTTTTTCAAGCTGACACCGAACTTCTTAAACTAGGACTCACCCGTTTACACTCACCCCAAGGCAGAAACTCACCACTGTATAAACCCTGTCACTGCAGAGGGTGCTGGAAAAGACCCTCTAAGGTCTATGAAATGGTGAGAGGGGACTGTCAGTCCCCCATATAGAGGCATAGTTTTGGTCATGCAAACACAGCAGCTCTGCAGCTCCTGTGTGTGTGGCTTTACAGTTAAAGTTCCATATCAAAGTGGGATTTACCTCCTGTCATTCCCATGCACCGTTCTTTAAGGATGCTTTAAAGAAGAGCCTGGGGCAGGAGAGCATTTTCTCCACACTGAGGTCTGGTTATTCAGGAAGAAATTGTGGGAAGGACTTGGCCGTGTTCCTGTAGGCAGGTATCACACCAAAGGGCCTCTGTGAGGTGGGGACTGAGACAGAGCCTTTCAACATCCTGCTGAGAAACAAGCTCCTTCTCACCTGGCAACTGACCTCCAAAAGAGGAACTTCAGAAGGTCCTACAGTGAGCAACTACCACCTTCTGTGCCTTCAGACTAAATTTCTCTCGAAAATCTAATCTTCCCAACATTTCTAGGAAGTCACTCCCCTTTTCCAAGTCCCAGGGGTAAAGACAGGACAGCAACTTGTCCCAGACTCTGCAGCGAGCAGAGCAGCAAGGCAGCCCCAGGCCATGTTGCTCCAAAATGAAAGCTTTCTCTGGCCCCACCACCAAGGTTCTTCCTGCCAGAATTATCAATACAGCCAGAGAAGAGGCTGCTCCCTGCCCACTTCTCTCCAGCGGGCAGGGGCACTGAAAGGGCATCCGTACAGGTGTGGTTGCATGTACACCCCTGACTATCAAAGTTAGCCAGTGGTTTCTAGAAGACAGCTAGGATGCAGGGCACAAGTCAAAACAGATAGTCCTTTCCTTCCATGTTCTTCCTCCAGGCCCAGGCTCACCACACCACGCCCACAAGGTCTCAAGGAAGCTGACTCCAAGGCAGCCAAAGGGCGAGCTTAGCCTTCTTTATCATTTCAAAAGCTGAGTGCATGTTACAAGAGCATAAAATCAGGAGTTTCATTTGTGACACAATTGCATTTGGTTTGAGATCACTGGTGAACCACTTAGGAAGCTGACCCTGCCCCAGAATTGTTGCCTGTTAATTGAGTCAGCTCCAACTCCTGGAAGCCTCATGCTATACCAAAAGAAAGGTTGTCCAGTGCCACACCATCTTCATGATTGTTGGCATGCTTTGGTCCACTGTTGTAGTAAGAACCTTACAACCTAGGGTGCTGTCTGCCAGCACAGTGCTAGTTGCCAGCAAGTTGATTGCAGCTCATTGCGACCCCCTATTGCAGAGTGGAACAGCTCTGTAGTTTTCAAGGTATAAACTTTCAGGAGCAGATCACCAAACCTGACTCCCAAGATCACTTCAAACCTCTGGACAGGTTTCAACGACCAATCTTTCTGCTAGTAGTCCAACACTTAACCATTTACACTGCCCAAGGACCTAAGCAACCTTCTCTTGTGATGTCTAGGGTTGTCACTGGCAGATCTTTCTTCCTAGTCTGTCTTAGTTTAGTCTTGCCACTCCACTGAAACCTGTCCATCCTGGGTGACCCTGCTGGTATATGAAATAGCAATAATACAGCTTCAAGCTCCTAACAACACAAGCCACACCACAGTATACAAACTGACACATGGGTGATGGCATCTCATGGTAGATCTCAGGCCATTGAAAGATTACAATAAAGGGGAAATAGAAAGTTTGAGACATGTGACAAATCCCCTACTCCAAATGGAGGCCTCCAACCTCTGACTGCAATTCTCCACCCCGCCCCCCCCACCCCCACCTCAGGTTCGGCTTTATCTTCAACAAGTCTGTCCCTGCGGTTCACAAAGTAGATCTGGAAACGTTGATGCTCCTCAAGACCATCAGCCTGCAGAGCCACGGCTGCGTGCCACAGGCCATGGCCCACACACACCTGGGAGGCTACTATTTCATCCAGTGCCGACAGAACAGGGCCTCCCCAGCTACCCCCCAGCTGTTGGTGGACAGTGTCACAGACTCCGTAATTGGCCCCAACTGTGACGTTACAGGCACCCCGCACACATCCCCCGATGGGCGCTTCATCGTCAGTGCCGCAGCAAATAGTCCCCAGCTGCACGTGCAGGAGATCACGAGGTGGGGGGAGATCCAGACCCTCTATGACCTAAGGGTCCCCCAGGGCATCTCGGCCTTGGCCTTCCAGCGCTCCTTCACTGAGAGCAATCAGTACTTCATCTACGCGGCCCTGGAGACAGAGCCAGACCTGCTGTTCCTGGAGCTGTCCACCGGGAAGACAGGCGTGCTGAAGAACTTAAAGGAGCCACCCACACAGCCGGCCTGGCCCTGGGGAGGGCCTCACAGGATCCTGAGGGACAGCGGGCTCTTCGGACAGTACCTTCTAACAGCAGCCCAGGAGTCGCTGTTTCTCATCAATGGGCGGCAAAATGCACTGCGATGTGAGGTGTCAGGCATAAAGAGGGGGACTACAGTGGTGTGGGTGGGCGAGGTATGAAGAGCCCCAAGCAGAGCCCGCGGCCAGGGAGCACCGGCTAGTCCTGACATCGCAGCCCCGAGCAGGCGCACTGTACATTTTTACAGACAAAAGCAAAAACCTGTATCCGCTTTGTGGTTCACCACTGGTCTCCTTGCAAGTTTCCTAGTATAAGGTATGCGCTGCTAACAAGGTTGGGGTTTTTTCGTTAGGAAGTATGATTTACGCCTTGAGCTATGACGAGAACACATGCTGCTGTGTAAAGGAATCATTTCTGTGCTGAGCTAAACGCCACATGACCAGGGCTGCTGGGGAGCCTAGTTTCTGCTCTCCAGGCGGGAGCTTCTGTCGGTTGCCTTCACATAGTCATTGTCCTTTACCGCCAGTTTCAGCCAGACTTGACGCCCTGGAGGAGTGACCCGGAGTCAGCCTGGGAACAGAGGCGCACCCGGCACCGGGAGCTCTGCCTCGGGCCCCAAAGCCACGTCTACCCTTGCCTTGTCTTTCTCCTTCACAGCCGCTTCTTGCGTTTCCTTCCATTTGACTTGTGATAAGCCTAAGGGAGAGCCACATGACTTATTGCATCTTTGGGGATGGGGAAATCACTCACTTTATTTTGAAATTTTTTGATTAAAAACTAATTTTTTACAATCTCAGATGCTAGCAAGCAGAAAGATCCTCTCCGAGGTCCAGCTCGATTTCTTCCCTGCCTTAGGCCAAATCTCTGGGATTCACAACCCCACATTCTATGGCCAGAAAGCAGCTCTCCTGAACGCAACAGTGGTCACCCAAGAATGAAGGGCCTCTAACCCATTGCCACCCACCCGTTTCTCTAAATGCAGAAGTGGACGCCACGTCGGTAAAGAAGAATTGATTCAGTGTTGGGACCCTCAGAGACCAGGACAGACCCTGAGTGCCTGCTTTTTACCAATAAAGGGGGGACATTGCATTAACCAGCCCCCTTGCCCCAGCTTCTGGGTAGACTGGGTTTGCCTGGCATTGTATGGCAGCCTTCAGAAGACAGCTACCCCCCATGCTCACCGCAGCAACCCCAAGGACATGATGGGGTCTAACGTGTTTCATAGGTTCTGGTATAAGCATTTCTTTTCTGCCTTTGGTCTTGACACTCAGCTCGGATGGCTTGCATCAGCCCCTCCCTCCCTTTACATACATACACACTGAAAAATGAAGAACCAGGAGAAGGCAGGCTGGCCTTGGGGCATTCTTCCCAAATGTCAAAGGCCACAGTGGGCTTTAAAGGCCTTTAAGCTGGTGAAGCACTGTAGGATCAGCACTGGACTGTGAGCCACAAGGTCAGCAGTTCAAACCCACCAGCTGCTCTTCAGAAACCCTATACAGGGTCACTGTGAGTCAGAACTGACTTGACGGAACTGACTTGACGGTACTTAACAACAACTACAAGCGTCACCACAGACATCAAAGTGTTGCCCGAGAGGCCCGGCAAAAAGAACCAGTATCAGAGAATCTCAGCAAGGAGGCTCATGGGATCACAGAACACTCCCTTCCCTCTGTTTCACATCATTCGTTGAAATACACTTACACACTTCCTGGAGTTAAGTGATCAGTTTTCAAACCACATGGGGTTGGTTAGGAGAGGTGGTCCCATTACAGACACTTCAGCGAATTTGGCTGCCTTCACCTGCCAATAAGGAGTCCTGGTGTGGCACTGTGGGACAGCACTGACTACTAACCACAAGGTTGTTGGTTCAAACCCACCACCCATTCCTCAGAATCCCAACACAGGGTCACTATGAGTTGGAACCAACTCCGTGGCAACTTAACAACACCTGCCAATATGGCCATGATGACATATGTGCTGCTGGAAAATGACACCTGTCAGGGCAAGGAAGATGGCAGCTCTGTATCTTTCTAAATACCGTATTTTTTCTCATATAATACATCCACGTAAATAACATGCATATACATGCACACACTAACACATGAGGAAATTGAATGGTTTGCAAAAACCTGTAACACGCACATTATTTGTGCAAAAGTACAGTACACGCAGCTCTTTTCCTTCCTCCTGACTACTCACCTCACCCGTTTACTACCCCCACCCCACCGGCAAAGTTCCTAAGACCCTCCAGATCCACCAAACATCTGTCCCAGGTGGCCTAAACATATTCATTCATATTTCAGATTCTTTGAAAATGAAGTGTGTAGACAGACACAGAAGAAACTGACCTCAGAAGTCTGGTCTTCCATTTTTAAATAGCTGGGAAGGATGGATCAACTCTCACCCCTTTGTTTTCTTTCCTACCTCTGTCTTGACACATCTACTTCCAAGCTCACATTTTTACCACTGAAATTCTCCAACTTTCATCAACCACCGAAATTGTAGCACCACTGTCGGCAAGAGAGTCTCTGGACCTAACAGAGGAGTCCCATTGATTATCAGCATAGAACATAGGTCCATCTTGGTCGCCAGATTCCTAAGAGAAGACCATTCAAACCAAACTCGAATGTTAATCCAGGAGTGGAGAAGTCATTTTCGGCAGTCTTTGTTCCTTTTCCACTCTTCCACAGTTAAGCTTTTCCACAGCATGTCTGCTTGTCTGTCCTCACTGTTCAGTTAGTGGAGACAGCACATTTAGTTCTCATAGCCAGCATGCTGGATACACGGAATTGGAGCAGGAAGATTGCAGGCCAGAGATTCAGAATCTGGCCCCAAGAGGCAAATTACCAAAACATTCCAGGGATTACACCTCAACATAAAACAAAAATGTACAGCACTGAGACCGCCAGAGCTGCTGAGGTTGGAGGTAGGCAAAAGGCTGGCCCAAGTGCTACCTGCCCTCCTCTCAACTCTACAACCACAGCTTTAGGATCATTGATAAAAGATGATGCAAACCCACCAGGTGATCCTTCTCATAAACAACTAATATTTTGTATTTTAAAGAAGCATTTGCTTTACCAAAAGAATCACCAAAAAGCCACTTATATAATGAGCTCTCTCAGTCATTTTAAAATAAAATTAATTTCACAAAAATTCAATATAGTTTTTTGGGTTGTTTTGTTTTTTTCTCCACAGAATAAAAACATACAAAGTACCTGTTGTGAAATTAAGGAATTAAAATTCAGACCCTCATTCTCATGCACAAGAACTCCCACTACAAGGTTCTAGATCCAAAACCCCACCTTGCCATCCACAGATTGATGCTTCTAGGAGATCGCCATGGTGACTACACCATAGACTCAAACTACAATTGTGAGGACAATACAAGACGGGACAACATTTCATTTTATTATAGATAAGGTTGCCATGAATTAGCACCAATACAACAGCAACAAACAACAACAAATAATAATAACAATGGCATGAACTCTGCACAAGCAGGTCTGAGAATGGACCTCACCCAATGTGGTGAATGCCATCACCCTAGCCTACAACTACACTGATGTGACAGGTCAGCCTGAGGCTGCCCCAGGCTTATTCCTGCTGTCTCCAAGTCAACTACCAGAAATTTAAGCCAGATTCAGAAGAGGATAAATCTTAGCTGAAAGCAGAGAATATCAGAACAGAAAGATGTTTACTTGTGTTTTATTGACTGCAAAGGCCATCAACTGTATGTATTATAATAAACTGTGGATAACATTGTGAAGGAGTCCTGGTGTGGCACTGTGGGTTAATGTGCCAGACTGCAAAGCCATTTGAATTTCAAGCTCACCAGCTGCTCCTTGGAAACCCTATACAGGGTGATTATGGGTCGGAACTGACTCAACGGCACTTAACAACATTGTGAAAATGGAAATTCTAGAAAACTTAATTATGCTCATGCAGAACCTGTACATCAAGAGATAAGTCATTTGAACAGAACAAGATGGTACTACATGGTTTAAATTTTTAAAAAGGTTGGTGTCAAGTTGTATCCTTTCACCATAGTTTATCTATACACTGAGCAAATAATTCAAGAAATTGGACTATGTGAAGAAAAACACAGCATCCAGATTTGAGGAAGACTCATTTACAACCTGTGGATATGCAGATGATATAACCTTGCTTGCTGAAAGTGAAGAGACTCGAAGCACTTACTGATGAAGATCAAAGAATACAGGCTTAAGCATGGATTACACCTCAACATAAAACAAAAATCCTCACAACTGAACCAATAGCAACATTGTGATAAATGGAGAAAAGATTGAAGTTGTCAAAGGATTTCATTTCACCCATGGAAACAGCAGTCAAGAAATTTAAAAAACTGAATTGTATTGGGCAAATCTACAACAAAAGACCTCTTTTAAAGCATTAAAAAGCAAAAATGTCACTTTAAGGATGAAGGTATGCACGGCCCAAGCCATGGTATTTTCAATTGCCTTGTAGTATGCATGTGAAAGCTGGGCAATGAATAAGGAACAACAGAGAAGAACCCATGCATTTAAATTATGATGTTGAAGAAGAATATTGAATATACAATGGACTGTCAGAAAAAAGAATAAATATGTCTTGGCAGGAATATAGCCAGAGTTCCCCTTAGAAAAGAGGCTATCAACACTTGTTCTCACATACTTTGGACAGGTTAACAAGAGGGCCCAGTTCTAGGAGAAGGACGGCATGCTTGGTAAAGGAGAGGGTCAGCAAAAAAAGAGGAAGACTCTCAATGAGCTAGACCGGCACCGTCGCTACAACAACGGTCTCCAACAGGAATGGTTATGAGTATGACACAGTACAGGCAGGGTTGCTTTCTATTGTACATGGACAGGTTTGCTATGAGTCAGAACCAACTCAATAACACCTAACAAGAAGTAGTCATCTGGGTGTCCTGATGCCTTCCCCAAATCCCAAAAAGTAGCCGGAAGAATCCTATAAAGCTTTGACTGGGGTCAACCATGATACCAAACTTCAGATGCTTTGGTCTAGAGATACCATCACCAGGGAGAGAAGATCAGCCCCTGCAGTTCCCACCCCAACCCAACCTGCTCCCCATCTCCCTGCTCATCTGTCCAAAAAAAAAGGACTCTCAGCTCCAGGCAGTAACTCTGGAGGAAGATTTTCAACC